TTAATTTAACAATTAATTTGCCAATTGATTAGGCTATTAATTTATCAATTAATTTGCCAATTAAAATGTCAATGAATTAGGCAATTAATTGAATAATTAATCAATGGATAATTAGGATATATTTTTCAATTTGCTGATAGACACTAATGCATAACAATAATAAATTTTCACTCAATAACATCTTTTTGTCAAGCTGTTATATTGAACGCTCTGTAAAATAAACAGTTATAAATAATGAACTGTATTCGAATCAGTATTTATTAGCATGATATGATGCTCATAATTATAAAATAAGTAACTGTAGAGCCAATCGGTTTAATTAGCCGGGTACGTCTAGTATTGAGCATTTTTTGCAAGATTGACAATTTTCATAATGCAAAGTGATGTTGCTTGTAAATATTGAATGTTAAACATAGTCGTTTCGATGCAATTAGAAAATTACTGCTGTAAAAATTCGTCATTTGTTTAATAATACATTTTTGCGCAAAGATAGAACTCAAGGAAACAGATAGTGCGTGATTGTGAACTTTTAGCATTTCAAATCTGACAGTGATTATGCAGTACGGACAGGCAGAGAGGGGAATTTTCATGATAGATTGTGGGAATGATGGAAACAATAACACTGCCAAGGAGAGACGATACTGTAGAAACTCGAGTCTTCGAAACAAAAATTTGAGGAAGATAAGTATCTAATCCTATCACACACACACACACACACACAGAATACCTTTAAATACTCTATATCTTGAACGACAGTATCGCTTTATTATTTCTTAACAATTTGAATAATTTAATTTTAATTTTACCTCATCCTTATATCGTACCTTCATTTTCAACGAAGCATTTCAGATAATTATTAATTTATGTTTTCGTTATATTGATTTTTTATCATGATACTTATTTTACGAAAAATTTTCAATTAGATTCAGAAGCTAGGGTTCATATAAATAATAAAAATATTCGCGATTATGTCTACAAACGCTTACACTGTTGTAATTTTAATTACACTTAAACAATTATACTGCTAATCTTTACGCATTTTTGATAAAAATGTCTAGGTCAAACATATACTACTGTGATCAAAAAGTAAGGTGAATTTGTTTATAAAATGTAAATTCTTTATTTATTCTTCCAAATCAATTTCATCCCCTTCAAAGTAATCTCCGTCCGATAAAACGCACTGTTTCCGACGCTTTTTCCAGTCCTCGAAACAGTCGGAATAGTCTTTTTCCGGTATAGCCTTCAAGACCTTCTTCGATTCGATTTTTATCTCCTCAATCGTGTCAAAACGGCGTCCCCGCATTGGCTTTTTGAGTTTGCTGAATAACCAGAAGTCGCACGGAGCCAAATCAGGCGATTACGGTGGTTGCGGAACGATATGAGTCGAGTTTTTGGCAAAAAAGTCGCGAAGAACCAATGCAGTATGACATGGCACCAATCGAGACTTGACGCGTTTGAGACACAAAACATCCTTCAAAATGGTTTGGACTGAGCCAGATGATATTCCAACACTATCAGCGAGGTCTCTCATTGTCAGTCGACGATTTTCAAGCACCAAATCTTCGATTTTTTTGGACGTGGCCCTCGTCGGTAGACGTTGATGGTCGTCCAGAGCGCGGTTCGTCTTCAACGCGTTCTCGGCCCGCTTTGAACTCGTTGTACCACTTATAAACGTTTTTTTGTGCCATAGTTTGATCACCAAAGGCCTTCCGCAACATTTTCAACGTGTCCGCACAAGAATATTCGTTCCGCAAACAAAATTTGATGCAAGTTCTTTGCTCAACAAAATCACCCATTGTAAAAATCGAAAAATTCACTTTTGGTCGTTTACTAAAACACGTGTAACTCGGAGATAATTAAACCTTTTAACAAACAAACGCTTGGCAATTGTTATAGACAGTCCTACCAACCTAGGAAAAAATCAATTGCCTGCCTTCCTAATGTCCGGGAGTTTTAAATGACAATTTCACCTTACTTTTTGATCACAGTAGTATAAAACTGTAAAGACATTAAATGAATTTGAGAATTTTTTCTATTGAAATTTATAGATTTATATTTTTATTTTTATTATATTATTTGTTTATATTCATATTTATATTTTTATTATATTATTTTTTATATTTATATTTATAATTTTATTATATTATTTTTTTTATATTTATACTTATATTTTTATTATATTATTTTTTATATTTATATTTTTATATTATTATATATTATATATTATTATATTTTATATTATTGTATTTATTAATATTATAGATTTATATTTTTTATTCAAATGATTAAAAAGAAAAGATATTTTCATCAAACTTAAGGTTTTTACTATTACTTAGACAATTTTTAATTAAAATAAAAATTCGATGTCTACTTATAATTATACTACGGAGCTTTATGCATTTATAGTAAAATTTAAACAGAATTTGTGTTTCAACAAAAATGATAAAATTAATAGTATCTTCACTTTAT